GTTCAATGTCATACCATAGAACAGCTATGAAATATCTATAATTTGTTATTTTTCTCTATGGTAATGTGTTCAAGTCTATGTTAACCCAACTGATGCAGCAAGATGCAAAATAAGGGCAGTTACTGTATCTAGCCATTACATTATCCATAGCATTTAATAAAAATATTATTATAGATAGTTCATTATACGTCTTGTGTCACGTCCTAAATAACGTCCAATCTACTAGTACTGCATATATACTGTGTATATTCAGTCTACATAGCAGATACACTGTACATAAAGAAGAGTTTCTAAATTTTTCAGCTTATAAAATGATGTCTATCAAAATTAATACTGTGCAAACATTTTAAATTTAGGGAATTATTAACATTAAGGAGCAGTCATCTGGCTAGAGTGTAGTTCATGAAATATCTCAATAAATTCAATTAGTATGCTAGCCTACAAAGTTTGTAAGTTGTTTTAGAGAACTTTTGTCAGGAAGCCCCTGCCTATACAGCTTGGGATGACATTCCCCCCCTCCCCTGTAGAGTGGACTTTTAACACCTAATAAGAAAGGTATTTTGCCCTCTCTTGCTATTTATAGATATTTTGAAATGCTTTAAGGCTTTCAACGTCTCTGCACATCCCCTACTTTTAACTGCAGTGAACTCTTTGTATACACATTAACCTGTTTCCAAAACTTCTGCATTTCCATTCAGGAAATCATAATGCAGTTATTATGAGAGATTTCCACATGGAGTTATTGAATCATATTGGTAAGCTGGGTTTATGCCTAGGTGCTGTGGTATGAATGCACATTGTCTTGAATTAGTCCAGTAGCCTGGCATGTTGCTGAGTAATAGCATACTGCAGCTCTTTTAATAAGCAGAGCAGTTCAACTTGGTTAAGCATCAGTGTGCTGGGTGATGGACAAAAGAAACAGGAAGAAAGTATTGAATGGATATATTTACACTCTAAAAGGATATATTTACACTCTAAAAGTTTCACTCACTAATAGTTTATAGATACTGCCTTCAGGATGGAGTCCATTGAGGTGATTGCAACTATTTGTGCAAAGTTAAGACTATTGCAAACAAATACGTAAGAGACTTTAAAGGATATTCTATTTCAGGCCAGGGCTCTAACTGAACTTCAGCACTGAAAGCAAATCAACAACATTCACCCGAAAGGAATCCTACTCCACTCAGCAAAAAGTATACTAATGAGATTTTCAAAGAAATTATTTCCTTTGTGTTACAAAAGTTTTTAAAAATATACTTAGTATTTCTGTGATGAAGAAAATTGTGTTGCTTAACACTTAACATAAGTAATTCATATTTCATGTAACATATGTTGTCATGATTCAACTTATGTTTTGGATGTAACTTCCAAACAACACGTAGCTCAGTTATTTACATTTATACTTCTCAACTCATATGTTAGTTTCTCTGCAGCATGTTCATCTTTTTAAACCACTGGGTTTTGGCATTTATCAGTATGTGTGTATATCCAAACAAAAATCCTGTTCAAATAATGTTCAAGGATTGTTCACAGTTACCTTTAAAGTCTGTACTTAGAAAAAAAATTGACTGTAGATAGATATACCGTAGATATGTATACACGAAAGATTTCAAAACAAAAAATAGAATCATTTCAAGTGTCAAGTTCATAAAGCCAAAGTACTAATTAAATCATCTTATTTCACAAATTGTCAGATGTATCTGTAGTTATATTTTTCCCAATGCATTGACCTTATACAATAGAAATCATAACAATACATCAGAAATTAAAATTAAATTAGGAAAAAAATAATCTGATTTTTACCCTAATAACATATACTTCTGCACAGGAGCTGAAATGAAAACTGTAGATTTTTTTTTTCCCTTAAAAAAGAATAGTATAACATTTAGTAATTACAGCTAAATACAGTTTTCTTTCCAATAAGCTATGAGTTTAACAGATAAACATATTTTAATATATTTTTCATCACAGACACACATACCTATTAGCTATCAGTATGAAATGTTGCTCTTTAGTGTACATGCACAACTTCTAATAGCATTGGCAGGGGAGATATTTAAATAGTGAGCATTTAAAATTGCTACATTTAAATAGATTGTTTTTCAGACTATGTGCATATAATCAGATTGTTTTCCAAGCAGATGTCCCTTTGATTACTTGAAGTCCTAACTGCAGTCTGGCTATTAAGTATGCAGAGATGGATAATGGGAAGGGCATATAAAAAACAAGCCATTTTGTATCAACAGGTGACAACAGCACATACAGGAAAAAAGTGGGAAGTAGGCTCAGAGGAATATACCTTCCCTGAATTGAACAGATATTAGAAAGAAAGAAGTTTGGCAGAACTCTGACCCTTTTTCCTGCAGTGATGATCATGTTGCATGTACATGGCTTGTGTTAAGTGATACACACAGGAGCTGGGAGGGAACAGTGGCAGGACCTCACAGAGCTTTCTTCTTTGGAACTTTTAAAAGTCCTACCGGGGCTATTCCAAGAGGAATAATCCAACATGCTCAGAGGTGCAACAAACTACCCGGAGCAAGGAGACAGCTTTCGCTAGTCCATGCAAGAATCCTATATGAGAGCTCAGATTTTAAATATTAAACTTCAATTGGTGTATTTATGGTCAAGATACAAAATCACAGAAGTAGAGAAACAAGAAGAATACATATCGATATACAGCAGAAAAAACTACAGTTGTATTGAAATTGAAAAAGAATAAAACTAAATGTGCATGCCACTCAGAAGTCCTAAGTATGCAAGAGGAGTAGATTAAAAAAAAAAACAAACAATGAAACCAACAAAAAAAAAAAATCCAACATCAAAACATAATACATATCTCCATATAAAAGATAAGGATGTTTGATTACTGTCTCCTAGAAAGTGCAGTGCTTAGTCGTCAACTGATTAGATGTTTTATTTGGACATAAAATGAACTGAAAGGGTATTTATTCAGAATAAGTAAATAAACAGACATTAACAAGCACATGGCTCTCAATACAGCAATACCTCTGCACCTGGCATTAACGTTCTGTAAAATATTTGGTTCAAACTAAAAAGTGGAATCCAAATGCCCCTGAGAAATCTGCTAGACAATGTCAGGCTCTCAGAGTTGCTTGTACAAAGCTGGTGAAGGAATCAGTGCTTTAGAAATGGCAGGTAGTCAGTTATTTCTACAGTGGGTAGATTTAGATTTATCAAAACTTTTTGAGAAGCATAGACATAAAATTGATTGAATTCCATTATTCAGCAATAATCTTGAATACTGAGATGAAGAAGCACACTCTATCATGAGAGCCTAAGATAGCAGAATTAAGTGACTGTTCTTTGCAGTATAAAATAGGAGTGAATCCACAGAGAAAATTAGTTGTTTCTCAAATGTTCACTCCATGCTGATTTTGGAGTTTTACTTTGAGTTGTTCTAACCTAGTTGCATGGACTGAACACCCATTTGCAGTCAGAGCATATGCCATCCTCACCCCCACAAAGTAAAGAGATAACTGTTTGCATTATGAACACTTTGATAGATAATGTAAGATCTTTTGTTCGGTCTTTAGTATTTTTATTATTATTATATTTTTCTTGTCCAGGAGAAAATGGAAAGGAAGAGTAACACCAAATAATATACCAAATAGTGTAATACACAAAAAATAGTCAGTAGTTTTAAATCACTGTTATGTATGTATCGAAAGCATATATAACTTCAGAAATAAAAAGTTTATAACATCTTGCTTCAGCTCTATCAAAAGGGTGAAATGACCTGTCTCCTTATGTTCAGAAGCAACACAAAAAAGAAAAATTTTGGTGAGTCCATTATGCCTCCATCTCTTAAACATCAGGAAATAAAAGAGAAGTCATAGCGTATGCAGAAGCATAGCAGCTGGTAAGACTTCAGCTGACAGTTTATTGGTTAGTTTCCTTTGAGATACTAAGAACATGTGCCAAACTGCTTAAACACTTAAGTTTTGAAGCTGAGTCCCTATTGCAACCTCCAAGCCATAGACAACCATTTCAGTCCTAAACTTTTGTCATCCAGATAAATTAGCTGGATTTCAAGTACAACACATATAAATGAAGATATAACTAGCGACTTAAAAATTACTGCTGATGAAATGTAAAAACTTGGATTTCCAAAAGGATCTCAATAATATCAGACAGTTAAAATCCTGATCTTTATTCAGTCTGAATAAGGAGGAGAAGCAGGAAGCTCTGAAGCAGGAGACACTCTTTTCCACAGAATAAAAAGAGGAAAAAAAAGTTTAGTCTGTTCATCCCTTTGTGTGGCGTAAGTTTTACAATCACAAGAACTTGCGACACAGTGATATGCTACAATACACAGGATTCAGACTCTATGAAACAGAACAGATTGCTACTTACTGTAGATTTTGTACATTTTTGTCAAAATTTACAGACCCAACACTCCTAATCACCAGGAATGTATATAATCCCTGAAAGTACAGATCACACCCAGGAAAGCAAGCTACAGCATATGCATTCAAGGACTGCATAGACCATGACAGTATAGTAACATAAAATGTACAGACACCTTGCTCTTGTTACTCTGAAGTAACTTTCCACAGCCTCAGGCCAAAGTTTTTTAGAAACAGGGCATGGTTATCCCCAAGTTTTATGCACACTGACAGTAAGAAACATTATAAATTATCAGTAAGCATTTTCTAACCCCCAAAAGTCTAGATACTTCTGGACTAAATAACATAGTAGCAAACAGTGCCACATGGTGTGCTTAGTTGGCTTAACAGGTAATATCCAAGACATGTTTGCAAGCATATAGACTGTAACTGTCAGCACATCTGGCAAGAGGATTTATGCCTTTGTTCTAGTGCTTCCCATCAGAAAAGCTAAATGCACAAGAGAGGAAAAAAAAAAAAAAAAGCTAGGAACTGTCTATTCTTTTTCTTGACAAAAGGCAATACAAGGGTAAATTTACAACTGACTTGAGTATATGGAGTCAGAGAGCCTATATTAGACTGTAAGCTTACCTTGGCACACAAACTTCAATTCCTTCGTATCTGTGACAGTGGTTCTTTTATCTGACCTCTTCTTTTCTGTTCGACGGTGGGTTCGTCTTTTCTTCGTCTCTCCCCAAAGATTTGATCCACCATGCATGCTTGGGATGTTCAGAATGGCAATTCCTTCCAGAGAAATATTGGTTAAGTCTAGCTGAATTCCATCACACTGATTAACAAGGGGGAAAAAGGAAAGAAAAAAAAAAAAAAAAAAAAGAGAAAGTAGTAAAAGAGAAAGAAAAATCAGGATGTTCTATCTATCAAATATTTTTCTTCAGCAATTCATCATTATTAACACTGTTACTGGTTTATTCAGTGTTTACACCTAAGATAGATACTTATATCTAGAAAGGAGGCATGAGATAAGAACTGAACCTAATTCCATAGACAAAACATGATTCCTACTCAGCTCTTGATTGCTTAAGTGTGGTACCATTTAAGCTACCTGACACCTATTCAATGAACCAAGTGAAACTGATTTGTACCTTCACTACAGCTATTAGTATAAAAGGATTTATACTATAAAAATTGCTGTAGCAATAACTGGAGATTTTTTTTGTTGCTTGTTCTAGCTACATTCTCTGTCTTAAGATATTGCAATGAAACTTGTCATTATAACATCTGAGTCCTTTCCAAATGAAACTGAATATAAAGAAGTCCCTGTATACAGAGCATATACCACTTCACAGAAAAGGACACTACCATGCCCCAGGCACACCGAATGTCACACCGATGGTAGTTTTGATCCAAAGGCACAACTGGCACATCAGCGTATGGCTGTGCCTGAGCAATAACCCCTACTGAGAGGTCAGATTAATAAAACTGGGTACAACAACATGGGGATGCAGCTAGAGCACTTGCTTATGCCACAACTTCCATCAGCTGGTTCTCTGAAATATGCAGCATTGCCAAAGGAAAACAGCATATGTAGCTAAAGAAGAGGTTATCAGTGTTCTAAAAGCCTTTCAAGGCTTACTGCACACACAGAAGAAATCATTGTGAGATAGTCCCTTTAATGGTGGAATCATTACTGTAGGCACCTTATGGCAATACTGTGTATTTCTCCTGCTTCTTATATAAAAACTGGACATTCAGGCTTTTTATAAGTTATATTCCTTTGCCAAATCTGGCTTCAAGTTGTATCTTATAAAGGGACCATAATTTTAATTTCCAGAAGAATGGCTCAGGGACCTTAGTTTATCAGCTTCTTCAGTGACAAACTGCAGAATCTTCTAAGGTAGCAAAAGCCTACAACATTTGCAAATACAGTTCATCTGACACACATTGGATGACATGTACTTAGCTGAACAGGATACACCTAGCCTCCACTGACTATCATTTACTCAAGCTAAGTCCTCCTCCCTTCCCACATTATTTCAGGATCAGTGAAAGCTCCTAACCTATATGAAATACACAAAATACTGAAGAACCTCTACAGAAGAAAAAAAAGATCCAACTTCAGATTACTACAGTTGAACCTGCAGAAGGAAGGCAAAGCATCCAGTTCTGGTTTTCAGTTCATGGAACCAGCCAAAGTTCCCAGGATTCATACACCTTGGCTAGAGGTAAATTAGCTTCACACCTCACAACATACTAAGAATATATAGATTCCCTGTCAAGTCACAGACACCTTATAGTGTATAGCAGCATATTTTAAAAAAAAAAAACCTAGATCCGAGTCCTGCAACATTCTGCAAACCAGCAAAGGGTTCAGTCATGCAATAAAAATGATTAAGGGTCTTGTTTTGTAATTCCAATATAGAATAATCGGGAAAAAAACTGGAAAAATAATTGACCATGCTTCAGCAATAGTCCACTGACATCTTGCAGCTTGCTGCTCTGTGGGTCACCAACACTTTTTCCTCTCTGCCGAAACTTTCATCACAGCTTTGAAGAAGCAAAGCAAATTACAACTTAAAAAACCCCTATGCATAATTGTTTTTCCTGAAAACTTCTGCTATCACAAAACAGAACTGTGTTGTAATGGCTATTCTGCATCTTCCCAGTTCTTCTAAGAGAATACATCTGGAGGGACAATCAGGTTGCCATTTCAATTTGCTTTTCAAGAATTATATTTATATAGTGAAACCTTTACAGTCAAAAGACCTGTCTGGAACTGAGTTGGCAGTTGTGGCAGTTACTGTAATTGAAAGTGTAACTTTTTAATCACACTTGTCTTACAAGAAAAAAGGCATGGGTCTTCACTGTTCTTTTGGAAGCAAATTCATGGTTCCCCCCTATATTTTATATGTATTAAATATTAAGATGATTTATTTTACTAAAAATTCTGCTCATGTGTATGCTCACTTACAGCTATACATTCTAGATAAACAGATATTAATTTCATAATTAAAAGTAATCTTGTGTAAATACCCTGCAGGCCTCAATGAATCAAACACATACTGTGTGTCAGGCCTCCCACTGTCTTCAAGTGGAATGTACTGGCTGGATAATTAGATAGTACATATTTTTTAACCTTATTTGCATGCATATTATATCTTTTGCACACTGACAAGCAGCAGTAACAACAAAAGTCAGATTACCACAGGGAATTCCCACAAAGAAGTCTTCATTCCTTATAATTTGCAGCCTAAATTAAAATAATTTGATCTTTGACAAGGATGAAATGTCAAGCAGAAGGGGGTCCTCTACAAGCCACGGCCTGTGGCTTCTGAAATCTGCCTAATTTATGTCAGTCACTTCTTAATACATATTTAAGTATTACACGAGAAAGATGATAAATATGCAATCTGACACCTTTGGTATTTCCCTGCTGTTAATTTATAAAGGTCTGGCGTCCCCCAAACTGACTGGAATTATTTAAATAAAAGAAGAATTGTGAAATAGGATAGTGCAGGGTCTGGCTTCCATTTTCACTCAATATTGAACACAGCAGGTAGTACACTAAGACAATTATTTGATGAGGCCTCAGAATCCCACAGTGACGAGGAACTTTCTGAATTGGTAAAAGAGGATTTCTTTTGTCATACACAGACAAGTCTGCGCTACAGGTAGCTCTGCGTTGTCCAACACATTCATATGCTGTAACAACAAAACATCTCTTATTCTGGATAACATAAGAACTTAGTGTCCAGACTTTGTTTTGCACCTCACACAGAAGAAAATACACAGAACATAAGGGACAAGAATCTGTATCAGGAAAGTTAAGCTTAGTTAGGCTTAGAAATCAAATATAGGGTTGAACAAATATTTTCCCACAGAATGTTTGATTGCTGTCTCCTAGCTCAGAGATACAGATCCTTAATCTTTCTGTGCATTGTTCCTTCAAAATTTGGCTGTAGAGCAAAGGCATTCTGTGTGCATTTTATTTGGAGTGAAATGTAGCATCATATGCCAAGCTCTCATTTATAGCAACATCACCAAGCAAGGGGCAGCAGGTTAAAAATCAGATGAAAACAGCACTACTCCCACGTGTTTATGACATTCAAACAATACTAGATTCAAGCATACTAGGAAGCACCATCCATTTAAATTCTAAACAATAAACAAACAAACAAACAAATAAATACCTTGTAACACTTCTTTTGTTAACATTTCAGAAACTAATTTTCCCCCATGATTTTTGTTCCTAATTGTAGGACTGATTATAATGACCAGGACAGATGAAGGGAATATTAACAAACATGTCTCATACACTGGCAATGTAATACTTTATTGGTAATAACAGTGTTATTGATACAAACTAGTAACAATTATACAACTAGTATCAGCAGAATCTTGCTTGCTCTGGGATGTTAAAATTTCATTATCCTTCCAATGGGTACAATTAGGTGGTTTAAGAAGATAATACCTTATATAAGATTTTTGCCAGAGAGAAATACTTTCTTGGGAAAGTCTGCACCTCAATTTGCATTTAATCAAAAGGTACATTTAAATTGCAGTATATTAAAACCAAATCAAATCAGGTAAGCATTTCTTCCAATAACTAATCAAGTATTTTTCAGGATACATATACTTAAGCCTAAATGTGTGAAGCACTGTCTTGGGAAGCAGGTTAGGGTTTTGATTTTTTGTTTTCTCTTTTTTGTTTGTTTTGTTTTTTCCAGGGTTTTGTTTGTTTGTTTTGTTTTGCTGGTTTTTTTTTTTTTTTTAATTGTATTTTTTAACTCAACATGTATGGAGTATGTTTCCACTTGAAAAAGAAACAGCAGCATAGCAGGCAAGTCTGGCACCACAGATCTCACAGTTCTGTTCTCAATATTCTTTGTTACTGTTCTACTACCAGATCCACAGTCCCGTCAGATTATTTCAGACTTCACCTTTCAGGAGGCTTTGACCAGACTCTTATAGCTCTCACCATACCTCTCCAAGTACCTCATGCTACAATACAAACACTCATTGACATGCGTAGTTTCCCATTACTACTGGAAGAGAAAAGCACCATCATCCTCTTGAGAAAGGATTCCATTATTTAACTTAAATTCTCACGTTTGTACCTTCAGTCATTTTCCATTTTTAATTTACTCAATTATAAATATCAGTGCCCCAAACAATTTATGTAATGTAGCCACTTATTCTATCAGCACCTTATTTTAAATTCATATTTTGTCTGCAACTCTCCTGTGCCTTTTCAGTTAATGTTCAATGTGTAATGGAAAGATAACCCTGTGTGCAGAGAGAAAAGATATTTAATGAAGGGGAATGATTCAAAAAATATATATATTCTTTAACCTTTATTCAGGAAAGTAAGTACAATTTTAGGGAATTGAGTTTTAAAGGTTACAAAAACTTGGGACCTAGAAAAAGATTTTTTTTTTTATTATTTTAATCCTGCAGCAGCTCTGACTCCCTCCGACAGTCTTTCATTTTTCCATCTGACCTAGCCACACTCCCTATTGATTTCTAATGTTATATTTCACCTCTTGACCTCGTCTACTGTATTAAGACTTCACTAATCATCAAACTGAACTTTGTTCCAGTGTGCAGGGCTACACTACAAATAGACGTGATAAAAATAATATTTTGGAATATAGGGTCAAAAGGATGAGCATTGCTTTGCCTTGTTGGATTCAGGCACTCTGCACCCTTGCTCCCTGCATTTCAGCCAACCTAGTGACATTTCAAGGATAAAGGCAACAATTAGTTTCTTACTTCTATTTCTACAGATTCATGCAGCTTCTTACAGGTGGCTGAGAAAGTTTCCGAAGTGCCAAATTCAAAATACCAAAATTTGTTCTTCATTCTGAAACAAGAAAAGAAGAAAAGAAAAAAAGAAAGATCTTATTCACTATCAATATGTGACAAAAGTGATCATCCTGTCTTCCATTATAAGTAATGGCAAAGGCTTGGGAACATGTGACATCCCATTTGAAATAGATGAGCTCATAATTTTCAAAGCTTAAATGTTGGTGTCAAGTTGTATGATATCCCCTAAAGGGATAACAGGAACTTGTTGAACTGACAGGTTCAAATGTACCTTTGACTTTTTTTTTTCAGTGACTATCAGAGTATTTTTTGTCACTTAACCAGTGACACGCCTCAGAAAAATGCATCGATTTTATTTCATGCCTATATCTGCTATACAATTTCTGATTCACGGTTAAAATCTATCCTGCAGACTACCAGAATGTGTAAGCAGGACACTCCCACCATGAAGACAAGCCAAGACAAAAATGTAGCTTGCCTTAAGTTAGCTAAAGATGAAGGTAAAATTTCATGATGACAGATGAGATACTCGACGAAAACAAAAATTCCAGCTCTAACAACCTTTAGGTATTTTGCAGTAGAAGAGCTGTATTACTGCATCATTAACTCATAGACACATTTTAAATGGGTGATGGGACCTGCATGTTGAAGTTCATTAACAGATTCTACAGAAAAGTAAAACTTGGTATAAATGCTAGTCAATTGCTTAGTTTATCATGACAGCAGGCAGAGATTACATTTTTTTCTTCTTAAATACATAAAGATTGCACTTCTGTTTTACCAGATTTATTGCACACTGTTAAATACAATCATTGACTCCAGCAGCACCATTTCAAATAAGTATGTGCAGTTTTGTTTAACTCTCATGAGTAATTATTATTCTGTAACAAAACAAGAAGCTAAAGTAAACAAACAAACAAAAAAAGATACCAAATTAGAATTCAGTATTCACAGTTAGGAATCTGATAGGAACACAATTCATCCACTTGTATAAACTGTTTTCTGACATAGACACGGCCCAGTGTGTGTGTAACTTGAAAATGACTGAGTTTGCATGAGCTAGAATTGAAGAATGAAATGCAGATGTAGATGACTGTCAAACATGCCAGCAAAAGTATAAATCCTACCCGTGGTACATATATTAAATTACACATAAAAGCCTACTTAGTGGCTCTTAAAATCCACTTAATGGCTTTGAAAGTCACAAAGGGAGAAGGGGCACTACAGTACTGGCCATTCCCCGAAACCTGCTGGCACACAAGCCAACAGTTCCAGCACAGTACCAGAGGTTTGTAGGGATGTCCAACCTGGCAGCCTGCATGGGGTGAAGAAAAGGAGAATAATACGAGAGAAACCAATACACTTCCAAAGAAAAGTTATATTTCCAAAGGTTTTTAAACAATAAATCTGAAAATGTTTGGAAACTGTTTTGGAGAACCTGCTCTGGGATAAATGGCATATTCTCAAAAGAGCTCCAACAACCACAATGGCTCAGATCAGATTCAGCTTTCAGATTCCAAGAATCTATGAGTGGAAGTGATCAGATGTAGGTTCCTTCTACAGTTGCAGGTTAGTCAGCACACTGACATGCCAACCTGGGGTCAACCGCTCTATTTACAACAATATATGTGAAGAAATGTAGCATCCTTTAATTTCCAAACAAGTGTGAACAAAGTACTGAACTCCTGCTGGGTCCCTCTGGATAATGTGGATGTAGCTATTTTCCTGCTTTCTACGCAGGGACAATGAAAAATGCAACAAAAAAATTTAATAATTTAAGTATTCAGAAAAATACTTAATCATTTCTTTGATTCTGTTATTAAAATCAAAAAGCCTTTGCAACTTCTCCTTGGAGAGCCTTTCGTTTTGCTATTCAGTGATCTTTACCTCAAATGAAACATCTTTTCTTCTTCTTTATTGAAAAGGCTGCTTTAAATTGACTCCTTAGCACTATATATATAAACTCTTTGACTTACCCAAAGATAAAATAGATAGATATATTTTAGATTCATTCATAATCTATTGTGTCAAATTCATGTATTTTCAGTTCAGGAAAACAAAACCAAGCATTGTCACTGCTGCATTCAGGGTTTACTGAAGCATTTATGTCTATAAATCAAAACATTGTAGAATTACAGGACAGAAGATTCAGTACATCTATCAGGTGAGGTTTTGATGGTAGATGTATTTTTTCTCATTGCCAGCATACACATTAAGATTCTATTAGGCAAAAAAAATATAGTCTTGTGAGCCTGTCCTCCTTTCTCTAGTTTAATGTATCTCTTCTTTTTAACAATAGACAGACAACCTACTGGACAGTTTTTCCAGTTCAAAGATAGCTGTATATACAAATAACTTTAATCTTGATTTTCAAAAGGATTTACCAACTCTCATTTAGTAACTGTTAAATAGATTAGATTGCATTTTTTTTTATTCAAATGCACTATATTTTTTATTGAACAGAACTCTGTATCATATATTTTGTTATACGTACAAAACAAAGTTAAATGTAAAGAAATCACGACAAATTATAACAAAATTTCCATAAGCAATGCCAGTCTTATTATTTTAGTAAATATTCTACTTTATTTAAAATAAAATAATAAATATACCAAAATATAATGAATATAATAAATATATAACATAATATAATTAATATAATAAAAAAAATATATAATAAAAATATTTATAAATTCCTATGTTACACTTGCATTCCTCTTTCAAACAGGTGAAGCTTATCTGCTTATCAAGATGGCAGCAAATAGGAGAGAGTCCTTTTAGATAATGAGTGAACTGCTTTCATGGCCACTAATTTCTTTCACAATGGTGTAAGTAAATTGTAGAATGGCAAACAAATACCTATTTAATGACAATTTCGCAGTATTGAAACTGTAAGAAACTGAATTACGGGCTGCTGGCATGTCCATTTTATCTGTCTCCTAGGAGAGCTGATAATTTTGACTTTTTCAAACTTTTAATAAGAGCTGACCAAAATACAGATAAAGTCTGCTGCAGGAAAAAAAAAAAAAAAAAAAAAAGTGTCATACAGTAGCACTTGCCTTTACAACACTGGTTTTGTTGGAATAGGAAAGGGAATAGATTATTTTACAGGAGAGCATTTTTGTATACGCTTCAAAGTGCATAGTTAAACTCTTAAACAGCTTTGCATTTGAAAATACAATATAAATTAAGCATCAATCATGATTAAAGGCTGACCTATCTAATCTTGCTATTGGATTGCAGTATGCTAAAATATATACAGTCTATGGATGTAGGAACAAAACAAAACTGTACTTCAAGAGTCTAAAAACCTTTTATGCTGTCAGTGTTCCATGTTCTCAACTATTGGTCAATTTTCTCATAAATGGAACAATCTTCTTAAACAGGAATGAAACAAATTGGCAAGACAGTATGGGAAGGCTAATACTGTCATTTCTTACAGTGTTTCTGTGCTGTGGATAAATATCAGACTTAGAAACTTGGATATGTTTCTTGGAAAAGTTCAGGCTAATATTTGGCAATCAAGGCAAAATTATCAAAATAGTCTGTAATATGGGTTTGCTCTATTATCAGTTAATCAGAAACCCCCCTACTGCTAAAACTATTTTATATAACCTTTCTGATTAAGCAATTACAAGGCATGTCATTGAAAAATTGTCCTGTATCTAAATATGGAAATAGTAAACACTTTATTCTACACCTGAAGAGGATCTGTACTTCTTTGCAGTGTGCACATTCTGTCACAATAGACCATCAGTAAGGGGCTAACAAAAGGTCGTGACAATGAAACAGGAATATCTTTAAACTTAAACTAATTCTTACTCTGGTGTTAAGGGTCTACAGCTGGGGCAACTGTTTATTGCTACAGTTGTAAGTCTCTACTAAATTCCTCTTCTATTTACTATTTATATTTATTATATTTATTTCTACTTTATTTTAATTATACAGTGTCAAGCTTCAATGACTTGAGCTAAAAATTTCTACATCAGGAAATTTCTGACTGCAATTTTTATAAAATTTCAGATGAAATATTTTGACAATATTTTTGAAATTGACTGCAGAAATCCATGTATATTTGCTTATATTAACTGTGCTTATTATCGTATACTTTGAACTTGTGTAATACAGCTACAGTTTCTGAGTGAAGACTTCAAATTTAGCACAAGGATGATCTTACATCAAGAATATGCCTCTGGCCATCTCCATGAAAATACATATTGAATTTAACTATATTATGAGCATTTGGAAATACACTCTGGGAAAGCTTTATTTTCAATATTCTCATATGGCAGAGAAAGAACAATTTTTTTGTCTGTAGTTCCGTCACTTTTTTATCCCTTAACCTACACAAAGTACAGAGATTTTAAACCACGCAACTACTAGAATTCATCATTTTTCCACGGTAAATTCCTTGAAAAGTTCACTGCAAAGAAGCAATCTCTACCACAAATCTGTGCAAGAATGTCTACTCATGGACAAGCAGCACTTGGTTTCCTCCATGAACTATACCATTCTCCAAAACGTACTCCCTAACCTCTCCCTTCTGAATTATTTTTTTAAAGCTATTCCAATTATGCCACAGAATTACTGTTTTGTTTCTCAGTGAGTGTCAAGAGTTAGCCTCAGTGTACATCATAAACTCATACATATTCCAGCATAAAGCTCTCATTCTGATCACCATTCATGAACAACAGTGTACACAATGTAATAAACAAAATTAAAAAAAATAATAATAAAAAAATCCATAGGGGGAGAAAAAAAAAAGAGTAGGAAAGAAGCCACATAGCGTGGATGCTTATGATCATATTCACCACATTTCTGGAAGGTGCTCAGAGCCACAGATTCAAGGTAAATATTTAAAAGGAGTAGGTCTCTCCGCCTCCTTTTCCCCTCTTGTTCACTCCTTTGTTCTCTGTTACAAGGAAATGAGCAGTAACGTGTAGAACCACCTTGGTGTGGAAGTATGCAGAAATGGCAATGTGAGACAGAGATGTATTTCCACAGAGCAGAAACTGTGAAGAGTCTAATGGGAGAAAG